AAAAAAATCAATTATTTTATTACTATTTATTCTTTTTTCGCAACAATTTTCTCAATGCATTATTTTGCGCTCAAAAAAATTATGTGGTATGTGTTAAAAATGCGTATACATCGTTTTTTCTTTAAAAAAATTAATTATTTTATTACTATTTATTTTTTTCAAAACAATTTTCTCAATACATCATTTTGTTCAAAAAAATTATGTGGTACAACAGAAATTTTTTTCTACATGCACGGAGTGAATATGTTTTTTTCATCATTTTATATATTGAATTATTACTAGAAAATTAAATTTTATCTCAAACTATTAAAAAATATTGATTATTAATGAAAAAAGATCACTTTTATGTATATAAGAAAATAATTTGAGACAATATTTAATTTTATAGTAATATTGAATTTTTTAAATTAAATTTATCTAAATATTACTTTAGATTAAATATTAACTCAAAGTTTTAAGTATATTTCTTTACATAGTAAAAAGTTTGCTTCAAGTTGTAAAAAAAAAAATTTTAAAAAAAATATATATCATTGTAGTTAGTTTATATAGTATAAAGAAGTATTGGCTTTTATTTAAAAAAAATAAGAGGCCCGTGCACCGAGACATGAGGTCTCCGTGCACGGAGACCATGAGAGAAATGAATTTTTGTTTTACTTATATTTTTGTGTTTATTTTCACGCTCATTACGGGATATCAAACGAAGTTGAAATATTACATTCTTAATATCGTTTTGAATTACTCGCGGTATAGTATTACACGTCATTAACGGTGCGTGAAACGGTCAATCATAGCAAATGTTATGGAACGTCAAAGTAGGTATTTTCAAACTATATTTCGAAATTTTCGATAACAAGCTAACTTTAAAAATTTATCGATGATTGTACGATAATCGAATCGATAAATGTTTTACATTCTCTCGAAACTTATTTTGAGAAATATATCGTAGAGACATCGAATGATCTAAATAGATATCAAAAATAGTTAAACGGATATTAAACGTATGTGTTAAAAATTACGCATATGTTGTTTTTCTTTAAAAAATCAATTATTTTATTACTATTTCGAAATTTTCGATAACAAGCTAACTTTAAAACTTCGTCGACCATTTTACGATAGTCGAATCGATAAATGTTTTACATTCTCTCGAAATTCATTTTGAGAACTATATTGTAGAGATATCAAATGATCTAAATAAATATCGAAAATAGTTAAACGGAGATTAAACGTATGTGTTAAAAATGCGTTTTTTTCTTTAAAAAATCAATTATTTTTTTCTTTTTAATTCTTTTATCTTCCAAACAAAACTTAATTTTTCAATTTTAATGAAAAAGTTATTTGTAGGCTAAAAAATTTGAAGAGAGAAGAATTTTAAAAAATTATATATAGTGTGGTTTCGAGGATTATTCAAAATTTTTTGTACTTTTCCGCTCTCTATTTTCTTACGCTATGGCACGCCTTTTCAAATCAACTCATTTGCTTATATTATTATATTATATATATAGTGTAAGAGAGGCAATGTGAATCTATGTAACACGCAATTTTCCATACCTTCGCCTTACTCCGTGCTGACCACTTTTATAAGTAAAAAAAAAATCACTTTTAGTAAAAAAAAATGTAAAAATAAACATATTAACAAAATATATTTCTAATATATGTAAAAATTACTTATATAAGTAAAAAAATTCATTTAAAATTATTTAGAAGTAAAAAATAAAATAAAGTTATGAAAATTAAATGAAGAATATATAAATATTATTTAATTAAAATTGAAAAATTTACTTCATAAATAATTTTTTTTCAATTTATTTAAATTTCTTTTTAATTCTTTCCTTTTTCAAATAAAATTTATTTAAATTTTTTTTCAAAATTCTTTTGCCCTACCAACCTTGGAGTGACTGTTGTATCGTCTGAAGAATAGACTTGCTGTTAGGATTCTAATTCTTATACCAATAAGAGAGTTGGTCATCCTATAAGTGCCATTTCAAGTTATTTTATGTGCAAACCTGAGTTTGTTATTTAAATGTTTATGTATGTGGATATTCTCTTTCAATTTACAACTGCATGGATTATTTTTGAACTACAAGTATAGCCTCTCGAATCGAAATTGTTAAATAAAAGCATTTTGCGAAATTCAATTTACAACTTATTTGTAATATCAAATAAAAAAAATCTTCATCTACATTAAATAAAAAATACAATAAATAATTAAAAATAAATTATCGTTAACATATATACAATCACAACATTCATTATACTTATTTATAAGAATAAAAATAAATTAATCGTGACATAAAATATACAGTTGACCAAAAGATGAGAATCAAACAAACATTTCTTATTTCCAAATACTTTTTATACAATCTATAAATTATACGCTAATAAAACCAAAAATAAATACAAAATTTGTGCAACACACGAAACGCGGACTAGTTTCTATAAATAAATATTAGAAGGAACCAAAAATGCACAACATAATAATTTTTTTTCACAGTCTCCGATTCTTTGAGACAGAAAAAGGGATAGATTTTTTTTTTTTTTTTAAGCCCGAAATTAGTTTCTTGATTTAATTAAATGGTGCCCATTCATCAATATTTTCTTGACTTCGAAGAAATACTATAAAAGACTTGAAAGTTGGAAGGATCAAATTCTCAGAACTAAAAGTTCAAAGTTCGTGATAAAAAGAGTTCAAAGTTCGGGATTTAGACCAAATCAAGAATCGATTATCATTTTTGGGAAAATTCTAAACTCAAGTTTCTTTATTTTAATATAAATGTGAACATCTCGTAATTAGCAAAAAAGTTGAAAGTTCTTGATCTCGATAAATAATGTTTTGTTTTTTCAAATAATTTTTGTTCCGCATTCTAAAAATGTGTGGTCAAAATTACATTTTAGTCAACTTAAATTATAAGTTAAATCAAGAGTAATGTTATTCATAGTCGCTCATTGCGGTAATCGCTCTATGTGACATACACATGACAGGTGATTATTTGATGCATTAATATGGTAATTTTTTACTCATTAATGTATCAAATAACCATCTGTCATATGTATGCCACGTAAAGCGACTGTCGCAGTGAGTAACTGCAAATAGCATTATTCTTAAATCAATCTAAACATGCACCAAATAATTTCCTTCATACTTTTAAGTACCAGTTTTTATAGTAATTTATTAATACTTTGAAAACCCCAGAGGACCAAATCCAATTGGTTTTAACCGAAAACTCGAACTGATATAATAAAAGACCCAAAAAAATTAGCAAGTCAAGAACGAGACCACTGACATTAAGTCCTTGTTTGGTAGGGATTAAAATCAAATTTTTAGTAGATTTTGATAAAAATTGATAAAACGTGTGGTTGAAATGTTGTGAGACCCAAATAAGAACATCTCAAAATTTTTGTTTACTTTTCTGTTCATCACTGTTTCAATAACTATTTAACAATAACCTTTAATCCTTTGGAAACAACTCATTAACCGATTTTTCAAATATATAACTTTTTTATTTATTAAAATTCATAAATTGATTTATAAATTAAGTAATGCTAATTGCAAGAATGAAATTTGTATGGAAAAAAAATGAATTCTAGGCAATTTAATTACTTTAGAAATTTTTGCATGGAAATTATCAATTAAATGTGTTTGATTGATTGTATTTTCAACCTAGAAAATGGTATACATGTCCATTTTTTATTAGTAGATAAATGGACGAGAAAGAGAGAGTGAACTAATTGAAAAATATAAACCTACTTCTCCCCAAAAAAATATTTTCATTGTTTTTAAGGAAAATATAGTCACGTGATTAAAAGTAGGAAAAAAATTCATAAAAAAATATCAATTAAACAGCAGAAAAGTAGAAATTTTTGTAAAAATGACGTTTTTTATGGAAAAATTGACAACCAAACGCGCATATATATATATAAAATTGAAGAGATTTTGATCTAATCATATCTAACCATATCATGCATTTGTAAACCAATCTATTGGTAGCACAATCGATTATAAGCCCTTGTTTGACAACCATTAAAATTTTAGTCTCTATTTGTTTTTTATTCTTTCTGGAGAAGAAGGGGTGGAGCCTGTAGTTCAGAGGATTAGAGCACGTGGCTACGAATCACGGTGTTTAACTCACTTCCTTTTTTTTGTGTGAGTTTCGGGAATATCCTCATTTATAGGTTCGAGATCTGCATCTTCCCCATTAAAATGAAAAATATGACCGTTGTCCATCACATCAAGCTACCAAATTTGAATTTTTACTTCTTATATGGGGCTCATAACGGCTATATTTTTCATTCTCATTTTTACAAAAATAGGAAACAAACACACCCTTAATATAATTTTCTCTTTCTTTTCAAATACATATTTTTTAATAAAATAATATTACACGTAAATTCAAAACTTTTTTTTTACAACTACAAATTCTTCCAAAAATAATTATTCAAAAATACGTTTTTATCAAAAACTTATTAAAATGAAGTTGAAACTAGAGTTAGATTTAGTCACATATTCATAATTAAGCTTCATTATTATTCACACGTCAGGAGACAAACCACATTTTCTCATTATAAATTTATTTAAATTTACAAAATTGAGCTAAGTATTTTAGCAGTAATTCGTACCAGTAAATTTGCTGTCACTCCTTTTTGGTACACTGAAAAGAGGATGGTCGCTTCCAACAAAATAGCATCGGTGGCTTCTGTTTCGGTGTGGTTTTTAGGTAAACAAATCAAATTAGTGTTTAATGAAATTACTCTCATTAATGTATTTTGACCATACAAAAAGCAAAAACCAAATTACCAGAGTCCCTGAATATAAGCAGATATCTGTATTGGGAACTCATTTATGCTTGAATGTGTATGGAAAAGGGGCCTCAAAATTTTAGTTTAAAAGTTGAATTCTTTATCAAACAGGTATCAACCGAGAGATTCTATTCTATATACAGATATTCAAGAAAAGAAAAGACTGCTTTATTTGGTAGAAAGTTGGGAAGAAGAGTTAGTATTTGCTGGACTGGGAATTGGAGAGAGAAGCTAAAAATGGAATTCTGGCCGGAGTTTTTAGCAAGCAGTTGGGGTAAAGAGTTTGTGGCCGGAGGACTTGGTGGCACCGCCGGTATCGTAGCCGGTTATCCTCTTGATACACTTAGAATCCGGCAACAGAATTCAAGAACTGGTTCCGCCTTTAGTATCCTCCGCCGTGTTGTCACCAGAGAGGGGCCTTGCGCCCTCTACCGGGGCATGGGAGCCCCTTTGGCCTCTGTCTTTTTCCAGGTTCTTACTCTCCACTTTCTATTATTCACAAAGTATGTAATAAAAAGATTCATTTCTACGAATTTACTTACCGAGAGTCGAACCAATACAATCTTTGCATATGCAAAATAAAGTGATTTCATAGTAATATTAAGACTTGAATTTTATCTTAAAAGATCAACTTTGTGATCAAAGTTAGTCCATGTTTTCATCTTTATTCGAGGTTGGATTTTATCCTTAACAAGTAATACATTCTGTCAAGCTTTTTACATAAATCTGAAAGGTATTTGCTCACTCTTGCAGAATGCCATGGCCTTCCAGACTTACGCTATATTGTCACGAGCGTTTAGTACAAACAGTACAGGAGTCGAGCCGCCCTCATACAACGGGATTGCTCTAGGAGGAATTGGAACAGGTGCTATACAAAGCCTACTTCTTAGCCCTGTTGAGCTGGTTAAAATTCGTCTACAGTTGCAAGGGAAAACGAACCAGAACGAGAACAAAAATCAATCCGGCAGTGAGAAAGGTCCACTACACGTCGCCAGAAACATAATAAGAACAGAAGGTTGGAGAGGAATTTACCGGGGTTTAACCATCACTGTGCTTAGGGATGCACCAGCTCACGGCGTATACTTCTGGACATATGAGTATATGAGAGAGCAACTTCATCCTGGATGCCGAAAGAGTGGCGAGGAGACCTTCAGAACAATGCTTTTGGCAGGAGGTCTAGCTGGAGTTGCTAGTTGGATTTTCTGTTATCCTCTAGACGTAATGAAAACAAGAATTCAAGCGCAACCAGAATCCTCCCCGGCAAAATACAAAGGAATTGCCGACTGCTTCACGAGAAGTGTGAAAGAAGAGGGATATAGTGTGCTCTGGCGAGGTTTGGGAACTGCAGTCGCTAGAGCCTTCCTCGTGAATGGTGCTATCTTTACTGGCTACGAGACAGCGCTCAGGTGCATATTTCACAATAACAATCACGCAGCTATGCAAACAGAAAATTCAATCTAAATTGAATCCTGTTGTAGTCAAAGAGCATCATCTTAACTGCGCAGGAAGTCATCTTGGCATTCTATTTAGCGAAATGGGTCAACATTGAGTCCCAATTTTAATGGAATCCGTACTTTAATTTTAACGGGACCAAATATATATTCACGTTGTACTTCACAAGGTGATTAATATAATATATTTAATTTTCGAAAATCATTTAAAATAGAATGTAATATTTGATATCAAAATAACACACTTAAAACTATAAACTAGTGAAGAATTTGATTTATTGAAAATTACTAAACACTTATCCAACATTGAAAGGTCAGGAAATTTTGGTATGGTGTATATAGTGAAAGTTTGAGAATTGTGTTTGGACCACAAAGGATACCAATAGTGCTTGGAAAGGGGAAACCTATATCATATCAGGTTCGGTCCAAGCCTACACGTGCGTGCCATCGCTTGTTCGGCCGATCGGCTCGACACGTGCACGGGTCTGATTTGTGTTCTAGTGAAGGTGGGTCCTTGTACTAAATTTATTTAAATTATTTGGGCTAAATTATAATTAATCAAATTTTTGGATACTCAAAGAAATTAATTTTGATTAGCTAATTTTTGGGTAATTTTTTTTGGCCTAGATGGTTTGTTAATTGATGAAACGATCATCTATTAACCTACATAACAGTCGTCTGTTAATCAATTTAACAAATGCAGTACTGAACAATGCTATCTGTTCGAATTTGAAGGCTATCTGAACACTTACGACTGTTGTGAAAGGGTTTGAAGAATGTTCGAATGGCTACAAATGAATCTATAAATAGTTTGACTCACTACCAAAACAATCATACCATTTTCATTGCAAACGTTCTAAATTTTGAATCTCATTCCCCCTCTTCCCCCTCCCTTCTCTCATTTTGATATTATTCTCGGAATGAAAACACTTCATTGAGTTTGTTGGAACTCCTACAAATTGTTGTGCCGCTTCCTTAGGAAATAAATTTCGTTTTATCTTGAAAAATGACTGCTGAACTGTGACATCACAAAACTTTAGTAAGTTTATAATGCATATTCATACCTTATATTGTGATATATATTTCATGTAACATAGTAAAAGAATTTTATTAATAATATTATAAGCTTATGAAAAGAATTGAATTAAAATTTTGGTTAAAAAACCATGTGGAAAAATTAAGGGAAATGAGGTGGCTACTCTCAATAAATAACATTGTTACTCTAAATATGAAAATGACAAATGGTATAAGGTGACTATCCTACACATATCACTTTGCCACTCTAAATACTACAATGGCAAATGACATAATAGGGTAAAATGTGGCAAAATAATGATTAAGGAAAAATAAATTAATTCTAAATTTAATTCTAAATTATTACTATAAATAGGGGAGAAGGTGAGAAATAGAAATGCATACAACAAAAACCAAAATCAAGTAACTTTATAAAGATAGCATTTTACTTGTCTTGCAACTTGAAGGTGAGTAGCCTATACCTACTTTTATTTCATACATATTTATTGCAATTATGTTTATTGGATTACTTCTTGCTTTTCAAATCAATTATAGATTCAAGATTCTACCCATTGATATTGACATTGCATTGAATATTAGCATTGCATTGGATAATGATTGATATTATTGATTTTACACCAAATTGGTGTAATTGACTAATGAGCTCATATATTGTTATTTTCATATTGCGCGCATGGGTAGGATTGAACATCTATAATTGGGGCCCATTGTTTTCCTTATTTATTCAAATAATATGAAGATTATGGTATAGATTACTCGCTGAATAAATATTTTCACATTATTTTATTTATTTTCTTGTAGATGATCCCTATTGAATAAATTGATTTTAACTCGGGTGAATGGATGATTTCTGAGGATGGCCAGTATTGCATGTATGTTAAAGAAGTCTATACATGGATGACTTATCCAGAATTTCCGGGTTTCCATCACTTTATGGGATCCCATTATTATATAGACTACTTCGAGGCCACTACTTTGAAGTACTTATTTTCAAATGATTTTCTTGGAGAATAAATATGTTCTGGTAGTCTTTGATATGTAGTATAAAGATTAGTAATGCAACTTTTGTATATCTACTAGTCTCTAATATACTTTTTGCAATATAACCAAGTATCTAAGAAAATTTTCAATTATCTTATATTTATTGATGCTTGCCTACCCCATACTCTACAAATAGCCAATAGTTTTCTCTCTTCACGAAGTGTACAAAATTTTGAAATTTTTATACATAGAGTTAAATGACTAAATTGGGATTGTGACAATTATGGTATCAGAGCCAAAGTTTCAAATTCGATCTTATAACGTGACATACATGCAAATTCCATCTTCTGGTATCCATTCACAAGGTAAGTCTTATAGGTTACGTGAGACTTTTCTTATTGCTTTAGAACTCGGTAATAGAAAGTGAATCTTTCATTAAAAAGAAATAAATATAAATATAATGTTTCATATGGACACCAAATTACAAGAATTTTTTTTTATTGATCATTAACGAACATTGTTGTTTTGCAATAGCCACGAAATGTCTCAGAATAACCAAAGTGATAGTAACACTGCATCAATTGAACATTTGACTCGATTGGTCCGGCGTCAAGCTCAACAGATAAATAAACTAATCAACAACTACACTTCCAATGGAGAATCTTCCAGGACCAGGGAAGAAAATGATACTAGTAATTGCTTTCAATGATTAAAACCCCCGATATTTGAGGATGCGAAAGATCCAATTGAAGCGGAAAATTAGATTCGTACCATGGAACGTATGTCTACATATGCACATATTCCAGAATTCAAAAAAGTTATATGTGCATCATTTATGTCAAGGGGAAATGCTGGACATTAGTGGGATACCTTAACCAGCATTAGAAAAGCTCAAGACATGACCTGGAAAACTTTTTGCGAAAAATTTTGAGCAAAATATTTCTCTTCTACAGCCAAACAGCAAAAGTTAAGTGAATTTCTATTTTTAAAACAGAAATCAATGATTGTATCTGAGTATATTACGAAGTTTGAAGAATTGTCACGTTTTGCAACTCACGTGACCACTACTAGCGAAGTAAAAATTGATCGTTTCATTGGAGGGCTAAAACTAGAATTGGCACGAGATGTACAAATGTCAGGAATTCAAGGCTTGGATTTTTCCATGGTAATAGATAAGGCATTAGTGGCAGAACAAGCAGAGGCCAAAATAACTCAAGCCCGAGAAATGAAACCCTCGAGTAATAGGCATTGGAACAGTACCACTAAAAGTACCAGGATTGGCAAAAATACTCCTTGGTTCCCAAACAAAAAGGTTCAAATGGAAGACAAATTCAAGGAGACAACGCCTTCATCATGTGCTCATTGCAGAAAATTCCATAGTGGGCCTTGTCAACTTAAACTTGTATTGTGTTTTGGTTGTGGAAAAGAGGGCCATTTGGTAAAGGATTGTCCAAACAACAAAAGGAAATATCAGCAGAAACCCAATCGTCCAGTAGGTAGAGTATTTGCAATGGTACAACCTAAAGTTGCCGAAGATGCGAAAGTCATTACAAGTACGATATATGCCTATGCTACACCTGCTTTTACCGTATTTGATTCCGGTGCCACTCATTCTTTCATATCCATTAAATTTTTGCATAATCTGAATATTAAACCAACTCTAGTACCACATAATATGGACATCATTACTCCTCGTGGTCCAAATCGCCATGCTAAATTTATTTTACCCAAGGCTAGCTTGTATATTGAACATATGGAACTTCCAACAAATCTTATCCTACTTGACTTTCATGATTTTGATATTATATTAGGCATGGATTGGTTAACCACCTATGAGGCTTTAATTGATTGTAAGTCCAAAACTTTAAAGCTTCTAGGCAAAAACATTGTATCCTTTCTGATACCTGAGAAAACATCTATAATTATAATTTCGGCAACCAAGGCTACCAAGCTTTTAACTAGGTATTGAGTAAGTTTGTACCAACTTAGTGCAGACAAAGCTATTACCCCCATCATCAATAACTGTTGTCTAAGAGTTCCAGGTTGTATTTCTTGAGGATTTACCTGGGCCGCCACCTGAACGGGAAATTGAGTTCGGCATAGAGATACAACCAGGTGCTTACCCTATATCCAAAGCTCCATACCGAATGGCCCCCTCTAAACTTAAGGAATTAAGAAGCCAATTAAATGACTTGTTGAATCGAGGATTCATTCAACCAAGTACATCTCCATGGGGTGCTTCAGTTCTTTTCGTTAAAAAGAAGATCTTTACGACTTTGTATCGATTATCGGGAACATAATAAGATCACTATTAAAAACAAGTACCCGTTACCTCGTATTGATGATCTGTTGGATTACCTACATGGTTCTGCGATTTTCTTGAAAATAGATTTGCGATTTGGATACTATCAATTGAAGATTAAAAAGGAAGACATTCCTAAGTCCGCATTTCACACTCGTTATGGGCATTTCGAATTTCTTATAATGCCATTTGGACTGACAAATGCACCAGCAGTATTTATGGACCTAATGAATCGAATCTTCAAGGACTATCTAGACAAATTTGTCATTGTATTCATTGATGATATTTTAGTCTATTCAAAAACTCGAGATGATCACGCAAACCATCTTCATACAGTCCTACAGATCTTAAGAGAAAAACAACTTTATGCTAAATTCTCAAAATGTGAATTTTGGTTGGAAAAAGTGGTGTTTTTAGGACACGTTATCACCAAAGAAGGAATCTCGGTAGATCCCAGTAAGATTGATGCAATTCTTAAATGGCGCAACCAACTACGCCTACCAAAGTACATAGTTTTCTTGGGCTAGCTGGGTATTATAAACGATTTGTACACAACTTCTCAAAAATCGCTTCTCCATTGACTCGGCTCACACGGAAGAATATTCCATTCAGATGGACAGATGAGTGCGATAAGAGTTTTCAAGAGCTTAAAACATGGCTTACCACTGTACCCATTTTAACTATTCTTGATGGAGCGGGAGAATTTACAATTTATAATGATGCCTCAAGAAATGGGTTAGGTTGTATGTTGATGCAACATGGCATGGAAATTGCTTATGCCTCTCGACAACTGAAATCTTATGAACTAAACTATCCTATACACGATTTAGAATTGGCACCCATTGTTTTTGCACTTAAAATATGGTGCCACTATCTTTA